TGATTGGTTGATTTGATTTAGCTCTAATTAATCAATAAGGATAAATTTGATTAATTGTTAATTTTTTGATTAATTTGTTGAATTGTTATTTTTTGTTAATTGTTAGTTTAATTTATCGATTAATGGTTAGTTTGACTTAGGTTTAATTCATAAATTAATTAAGTTAATTTTGATTAATTGATTGATTTGATTTAGGTTTAATTAATTAATTAATAAGTTCAAATTTGATTAGTTGTTAGTTCGTTAAATTGTTATTTTTTTTGTTAATTTTTAGGTTAATTTGTTAATTTTGATTAATTTATATTTTTTTAATTTTTAATTTGTTGATTAATTTTTTAAATCATTATTTTTTTTATTAATTGTTAGGTTATTTTTTAATTAATTTTTAGTTATATTTATGTTTAATTAATTAATTAATTAGGTTAAATTTGATTAAGTCACTAATTTTTAATTTTTTTGTATTGAAAATTGTTAACCAATTGTTAGTTAAATTTAATTAGGTTTGAATTAGGGTTAATTTGATTTAGGTTTAAAATTAACTACGTTTGAATTAGAATTAATTAGGTTAATTTGATTTATATTTAATTAATTAGATTAGATTAAATTTGATCAATTGGTTGATTTTTAATTTTATTTATCTTAGAAACTATTAACTAATTGTTAGTTAAATTTAATTAGGTTTGGATTAGGTTTAAATTAATTAGATTTGAATTAGAATTATTTAGTTTAATTTCATTTAGGTTTAATTAATTAATTAGGTTAAATTTGATTTATTGGTTGATTTTTAATTTTTTTAACATTGAAAATTGATAGTTAAATTTAATTAGGTTGGAATCAGGGTTAATTTGATTCGATTTTAACTAGAATTAAGTAGGTTAATTTGATTTAGGTTTAATTAATTAATTAGGTTAAATTTGATTAATTGGTTGATTTCTAATTTTATTTGTACTAGAAATTGTTGATTAATTGTTAGTTAAATTTAATTTGTTTTGAATTATGGTTGGTTTGATTTAGATTTAAAAATAATTAGGTTTGAATTAGAATTAATTAGATTAATTGGTTGATATTTAATTTTATTTATATTGAAAATTGTTAATTAATTGTTTGTTAAATTTAATTAGGTTTGAATTAGAATTAATTAGGTTAATTTGATTAGATTTAATTAATTAATTAGGTTAAATTTGATTAGTTTGTTGGTTTTTAATTTTATTTATATTAGAAACTCGTTAATTAATTATTTACTTAGGTTTGAATTAGGGTTTAATTATATTTAAATTAGGATTGATTAGGTTAATTTTATTTAGGTTTAATTAATTAATTAGGTTAATTTTGATTTTATTGGTTGATATTTAATTTTATTTGTACTGAAAATTATTAATTAATTGTTAGTTAAATTAGATGAGGTTTGAATTTGAGTTAATTTGATATTGGTGTATATAATTATTGAAGTGTGTTGGGATATGTCATAGTGTATCGAACCCGAGGGGTCGAGACTTTAAGGAATTGAAGAGAAATAGCATTGACAAAATTGTCTATTAGAGTCCAACAAAATGCAAAACTGTTTCGGGATGATGATTCGGAAATCCAACATAAATTGATCTAGGAAGATGGTGATGAGCAATCGTTAAATGATTCAAATGGATCGTTTATAAATATAGAAGTAATTGGAGCTAACGAAGAAAATGAGAGTGAATATGTATTAGAATTGACTAAAGAAGAAAAAAAACTTAAAAGATGATTATGATAGTTGAAATTAAAGATCAATTTTATTTGTTGTATTTATTAAAATATATCGTTATGTCTATTATGTTTTTTTTAGATGTTTGTTGTGTATTTTAGATGTGTTGAATTTTATACGGATGACATTTTCAGTAATAAGAAAATATCAAATTTACAGGGAGACTATGTTGAATTTTTTTTTTAATGAAAATAATTTATAATATATTTTCAATTAAATTATTATTCATTTTTTGTGTTTATTAAGCCATTTTAAATTTTATTCTAGAGTTATGCCTCATGGATTAGGCGGATATAGTCACGGTGTCAATTGTCGTGGCTCCGATAGCGATAGTGTCCATGGTCGAGGCACCGATATTGGCGAGTGTTTGTGACCGTGCCACTAATAGTGATGTTGTACATGGACATGACATTACTAGTGCAAGTGTCTAAGGTCGTGGACTTGATAGTGACATCGGCACGTCGGCATCCTCGCCAATAGTGCCTTTACCGGTAATGCCCGTGTCGGTAGTGCCTCCGGCTACGGATGTCCTCACGACAATTTCCTCAACTTTAAGAAGCTCTACTAAATTTGATTTAATAACTCTCGTTCTTTACATTTCTTCTTGTCGCTCGGCTCTGTAGTAGGTATCCGGTTTATTGCTTTAGGTATTAGCACTATAGCTTTTAATCTAAATGGTTTCAATTTCAACCAATCCGTAGTCGATAGTCAAGGTCGTGTAATTAAATACATGGGCTGATATTATTAAACGTGCTAACCTTGGTATGGAAGTTATGCATTCTAGACGAAGCATTTGGGTCATGAATAATTGGTAAGTAATATATTTTACATATGACAATTAGTTTTATATTTTCATATATTATATTAAAATCATTAATTCACTTATTTATTATTTATTTGTTTTGTTCGACAGTTTGGTTACATCAAGTAAATGCTAAAAAAATCATTGTAATTTTCAATCAACGTTAGACGTCGTTGGCTCCACATGGAAGTCTCTGTCTCCAAAGAGACAAAAAACTTCAACTTTAATGAGTTTAGGATAACAAATTAATTATTTACTTATATTTCATTTAATATATTAATCTAACATGAAATGTAGTCATATTAATTTTTTCTTCAAGTAGAAGTATTTTTTATAAAATGCGACCATTTACCGACTCGATTAGGGATACATAGGAGAGTTTGACATGGAGATGATATGACGACATGTTGAACAAGCTAAAGAACAAGAATGATAGACCCACATATGTTAAACAATAGGTGTGGGAAGCATGGCTTCAAGATTGGGTCTCAATAGGCATCTAAAAACAAGTATATCGAAGATGAGTGGTGTTGGTGTTGGTCCATCCAAGCATACGAGGGGTTCTATCTTTTTGAATTGAGCATGTTAAAGGTTTGGTAAATCCTATCATCCATTGTGTCGACGTCGACCACCAACAAGACGAAGGGCCAAAACAAAGGAGTCGCTACCTAGCTAATCGAGGAGAACTAGAAAACCCTAAACATACCGGTCTATATGGATATCTAGGCAAAGGGTCGGCTACTTATGGAGAAGACATGACGTCACCACCATTTCGTCATACCTAAGGTAGGCAACATTGTTTGTCTATCAAAATAAAAATCTTGGTTTCTTATTTCATTATACTTCTATGACTATTCAAATGAATTTATTTGGTGAAAATATGAGACAAGATAATTCAAATGTAAAACGAGGTAGTTTGGGCGTTCGGACCGGTCCAAAACCAAAATGCCTTTCTCAAATGAGGGCAAAATAAATAAAAAAGGTAGAATTTTGACTAATCATTAGCGAACATGACCTACTATCAATGAATAGGTAGTTTCTAAAGATAAATAACCTTTTATTGGCATAAACTCGCGAGTCATCGACGACTTCGCTCACACAAGTGGGAAGCCACCAATGACTTCGAGTCATGAGTTTGAAGCTAATGATAACCTCATCACACAAGTTAGAAGTTATCGATCACTTTATTTAGCTCAAGCAAGGAGCATACAACTATTTAGAAGCCATTAGCAGCTTCCTCATATAACTCGGGAAGCCATTGGCGACTTCGTTTTAGAGAAAACATACATTAAATGAAAAGTTATTTTCGAAGCCATTGATGACTTCGTCACATAAGTGGAAAGCCACCGACAGACTTCGTTTTAATGAAATAAGGAATAAAACATAGAAAACAAGAAGCAGGGAATAGTGAACAAAAATTAGGAAAAAAAGGGATCGAATGTTGTAGATCGCATTTACTTAATTTTTTGACAGGAAAACAAGCTACGTAACTCATTTAGAGCCTTCAACAACTTTGTAAATTTTACAACAAATTTGAGTAAAGGAAGATTTTTTCGACCACCCTAATAGTACTTGTCCCGATATTATCAACCAACAATTACCATCCTTTCTCGGGTAATTGAATATTCAAAGGGGTGTTTTAATTTTTTCTTTGGCTCTCTTTTAATTTTTTTGCTCTTATTTCTTCTTTTCAAGCAACTCAAAAAGGTAGTCGGGGGCTATTTTAAAGGAGGTTTTGTGTCTATTTTGGTGGGTGTTTTGGGGGCTTTTTTTGGATGGTTTTAAAGCTGGTTTAGGGATGTTTTTTGCGCTGTTTTGGTGTTTCAAATAGGTCGTTTAAAAAGGTTGCTCTGTAAGGGTTTTTTAGGGTCGTTGGTAATGGTTACGAGGCTATAAGGGCTACTGTTAGTGGTTGTTTTGGGTCTGATTTTTGGGAGTTTTTGGGAAAGTGTATGAGGCTATCTTAAAGCTTGTTTGGGGTTTTTAGTGGCTGTTTTGGTGGTTTAAGGGGGCTGTTTGAAGTGGGTTTTCCGTAAGGATTTTTAGGATTGTTTGAAATTTTCATCCTTCCTTTTTCATAAGAGATTTCGTCGACTGTTCAACCAAAATTTTGATCATTAAAATGATCTAATCTTGAAATAGTGTCTTCATAAGAATTATAGGGCCCGATGTTATCTTTCCAAAAAAACTAGCCTTTCATCAATTGGACTCTTATAGCCTAAGATATAGGCTCTAAACCAAGCGGGGCCTATCGCTTAAAAAACCTCGTTGGACGGATTATAACTTTTGACTTGTAGCCCTATTTTAACTTTTAAATCTTTCGAATTAGGCTTTTAACTCCTCACAATAGTTTTAGCTTAGTCTATTAACTTCCTAAATAGCTCAAGATCACTTAACTTGGATGTCTATAGCCCAAGTTATAGTCAAAATACGAAATAGGTGTGAGGGTTGGAGTGGCCTATGGTGTGTTGGCTTGGGTAAGGGGGTTATGGCGTGTTGGCTTGGTGCGGGATAAAGACTTATACAGGTAGTAGTGTGAGGTTGGTGAGAGGGGCTACGGGTGCTGGTGTGAGGAGGGCTTGTAGTGATTGGTGGAGTGGGCGAGCTCGGTGCTTGGTTGGCAAGAAGAAGCTCAGTGAGGAGTGTCTTGCGTGGGAGGGGTCGTTTAGTGCAGCTTGTGGGGAAGATGTGCCACGGATGGAAGGTGTTGTGTTTGGAAAGAGGTGTGTTGGTAAGAGAGAAGTTGCAATAGTGAGGGAGAGAGAGGAGGCTGAAAATGGGTGAAAAGTTTATGGCGTGGGAGAGGGCTTCTTATGGTGTGAGAGAAGGTCGCCTATGGGGGAGCTATGGGCGAGGGCTTGTTGAGGGAGAGTTGGCGACTAATTCTCTCCTTCCGTTAAGGTGATAAATGAATAGTGTTTTATACCAAAAAATGCATGGGAGATGTAGGGTTTTTGGGAAAAAATCCAAATCAGCTTCTTACTTTTCTTTCATGCATTTATTTGGGTTCAATTTGTTTTTGTATTTCAATTTAAGCCTCTTATTGCCAATACTGGGACTTTTTATTTTAATTGGTTCCAATTGTATCCTTTTTAATTTTTTAAAAAGGAATTGAAGCTTTGAATTCTTTAATTAACCCCTCAATTGTCTTTTTAATTATTTTCCACTCTTTATTTTTCTCAATTAACCTCCTCCTTATAATTAATCTAAACTGGACTATTCTAATTTTTTTTTTGTATTTTGCATTTTTGTTTCGTTTTATCTATTTTTTTTTGTATTTTATTTTATTTAAAATAATAAATGAAAAATAAACAAAAGAGGAGCAAAAATTGGGTGTCGACACATTGTGTATAAATTACATTTATTACATCTCGTATTATTTTGTTTATTTTTTTTCAACATAATAAATTGGGTCGTAACTCAATTTCTTACTAGTTGTTTATGACCACTCACAAACTAAAAGTGAGTCATTCTATGATAGACGATCTCATACAATAATGATAAGTTATATATATATATATCTATCAATATAATCTAAAAAATATTTTATGATTTAATATTATAATTATTTTAATGATGTAGGAGCACATACAATTAATACAAGAAGTAGCTATTAAGGAGCAACATGAGGGTAATTTATCATCTTCAAACATCAACATTTTGAAGATATATTTGAATGTTGTAGAAAGAGAGAAGAAGCGAGAGAGTATACGGCCTCGGATCATAAGAGTCCCACTATTACTCCCATTCTCGCTCTAACTCCTCTTCTACTACTTCATGGTATCATGGTGGTAATATCTAGGAGGTTTATATCCAAGTATGAAGATAGCATCAAGTGGATGAAGATTACTCTCGCATCTCTCTTGTTAATCCCCCCAAACTCGGGAGTCAATTGTTCCTCTCGATACATAGCATCCAAAAGATGATGCAGGAGATGATGATGATTATATATTTTTTAAGGTTTTTAATGTTTTTGTACATCTTGACGCATTTACATATTTATTTAATTTTAATTTATATTATTTTAATTTTATTAAATAATATATCATGTTTTAATAAGGTATTATTTTTAGTTATTTGTTATTAACATTAACGTTAAATGGCTATATATATAATTTCTTTGTTTGGCCACAGATTAGCGATAAAAATTAAACCTCTTTACCACAAACACTTGAACGATGGTTAAATAGCGACGGATCTACAAGAAACTTTATATATATACATAAAATTCCTTCGTTTGGTGACGGATTGGCGATAAAAATTAAATCGCTTTACGACAAACACTTGAACGGTTGTTAAATAGCAACGGATCTATAAGAAACTTTAGTAAGAACAACTTAGCAATGGAAATTCCATCGCTATTTAGCGATAAAAATAGTGAATTAGTGATTGTTTTGCAACAAATACGAGATTAAAGAGATAACTATTTACTATATTTTAGCGATGAAATTCCTACACATTATTGATATATTTTTTTTCACAGCTAAGACAATAGCAATGATGACTTTTGTTGCGTGAAAATATGTTGTCGCAAATCCATCGCTATTCAAATTCATCGCTAAGGACAAATAGCGATAGATTTTTACTATATAGCGATGGAAAAATCTATTGCTATTTTTTTGTTTTGTTTTATTGTTTCTAGTGAATCCATCCAACATCCTCTAACAATCATCACCCTAATTTAATAGTGAAAAGTCATGATTCATTAGATTTTTCAATCTCATCGCAATAGATGTGCATATCTCATATCTAAAATATGAGATCCATTTTAAAATTATAGGATTTAATTAATGCAACATAAAATTAAATTATAGAGACCTCCAAAGTGTTAAAGACTAATTTAAATTATATTACGGGGTCTCACCTATCACCTTAAGATTTTTTTAGCTTAAGCTTTTAAATGAGATTGTCCTTTAATATGGTATCAAAGCTTGGTTGACCATGTAGTCTTGAGTTCAAGTCTCACCATCCCGAATTTCTCAAATATTAAGCATAAGATAATATAGATCCGTGCAAGTTTCAAGCCTAAATGTTAAAGCTTTCACTTGAAGGGGTGTGTTAGAGACTAATATAAATTATATTTTAGGGCCTCCCCTATCAATTTAAGCTTTTTTTAGCTTAAGCTTTTAGATGAGATGATCGTTTAATACAAAGAGCATTAAATCAATTTTTTTAAGCGAAAAAAAGAGAGACTTTTTAGTTTCGCATGGTGGTTCCAAAACTAAATCCATCATTTTCTTCTTTTGCTTAAAAACACTATTTACATCGAAATTAATTAAGAGATTTATATAAATTTTGTTTATGATAGTTTGTTTTGGGATTTGAACTTTGATCGCTAGAAAATACTATGATTTCGATCTAATTGAAGAGCAAGATTCTCTTGTTTTGAATCGTTCTAAAAGCGAGCAAATTAAGAAGATGGTAAAATAACAGTGTGATAACCGACAAATTAAGGTGAGAAGAAGGCACTAATTAGCAGCATATATGTGATGGGAAAAGAGCAAACTTTTGAACTTTTCTCTTGAAAAAAGTCAAATTTGTTATGGATTATACATTGCTTCACAAAAGGATGCATAGTTTTAGAACAATTTGCATGTTATCAACGCAAACACTGTTAGCCAACACTGTAAATTAAGCCTTTTCTTTACAGCTAGACATACGAGATCTAGAGAAGATCCTTCTTTTTTCTGCTTTGCGGGCAAAGCAAATTAATCCTTTGACTTTCTAGTATTTTGTCTGGCAAGATGGGAAATCAATCCCTTACGATCCATCATCCATCCATGAAAGTAGAGTACATTAATTCTTGATATTTTTCCATTTTTTGTAGAAAAACCAATTTGCTAAGAAATAAGAAGCATATAATATCTTTAACATTTTAAGAAATTCAATGACTGATGGGTTTTAATTAGAAGCGTTTTTTTCCAGTGATGAATCCATCTTACCAAAAGGAGTTATATATGCAATCAAATAAAGGTTCCACACTAATCTCCTTAATTAGAATTATTGCTACTACAATTTATTAATTTTATTAACGTTCCATAAACACATGTAATTGCTACAACAATTTATTCGAATATTTCAGTAATACGTACGTGATAATGAGAAATCTTTTTCGAGGGAAAAAATGGCCACCCCTGTTATTATTTGGATTCTTTTCTTAAGATAGGATTTGAATTAATTTAATTTGATTGTGTAAAAACTAATAAAAAGATATTTTAGTATTATAATTAATTAAGAAAAAAAAGCGTCATTTTGATCTTTCAAAAGTCATGCATACAAATAGAATTTGCTCAGTAATTATATACCTAGCAGTTTCTTATAGAAAAATAGATTCTAACAACATTTTCCTCCATTATTATTATTATTTGATTTTCTGCAATAATTATTGTTTTTCTGTTTTATGTAAGATAGGAAATTTGATCAACAAATGAAGGGTTTGGGAACAAGAACAATTAAAATGGACAACTCAAAAGTCCACTGCCCAAACAGACACGGAAGACCTATGGCATTAATTGATACGAAACCACAAAGGCTATTTATTAAATTTATTTTTAATAATATAGAGACTAATTAATCATTTTATAACCTATAAGTACTGTACTTTATTTATTAATTCAAAAGAAAAGGAAACAGAGAGAGAGAGAGAGGAAGAAAATAGCAACAAAATTAGAGTAGCCGTTATAGATCCGTCGCATCACATTGCCAACCACATGCGTAATAAACCGACCAACAAACTTTATTGACCCTTTTTTATTTTATTACCGGACCTGACCTAACCACCAAATTGCCCAATCGCAGTATGCCACCTACTCCCTGCCCCACCCTACTTAACTGTCCCATTCATCCGTTCTTCCTTTTAAAAAAAAAAACAGTAAAATATTTACCCTAAACGACACTGTTTGTAACTTCAAAAGAGCGTTTTAACAAGAGACACCTCCTCAGGTCCTTTTTATGCTCAACCGTGTCTGTCTCTCTCCCTCTCTTCCATATTTGTTTTTTCAAAAACCGAAAAGAGACGGGGAAGATGAAAGTGCAAATAATAATAATAATATAATAACAATTATAGCAATAATGCGAAGCATCTTACTCTTGCTTTAGCTTTGACGAACAAATTAGACGACGATAAATACATCTAAATTGTGAGAGAGAAGCCAAGCAAAGCAACCATATACGTACTGATTTGTTTTGTTTCTGTTACGTACGTTTCTTCTCTGGCATTGCCCACTCAAACGCTGTCGTCTTCTCGCTTCAAAGGTAACAACGTTGTTTGGATTTTTGGAAACTTGATTATCTATGTACGACGCGATTAGTTGTTTGTAATTGTTTGGTTGCTGAGAAATTAATTTACTGTTGGAGGGAAAGTGATGAAGGAGAAACAAAATAGTGTGTTTGACAAAGAAAAAGGAAACTTACTTTTGGTTTTGTTCTGGTGAGTTTGAATAGAATAATTCCACTCTTTTGCGTTGCTGGTAAGTTTTTGCAGTGTGAATGTTTTTTATTTTATTTTTTTAGGTGTGTGTTTGGTTGCCGAGAAAATATGGTTGAAAGAAAGGAGATACGATGCTTTTGACTAATCATGTCAATTTGAACTGAAAAGCGAAAATTTTATGTCTTGCAATGACGGAAAATATTGAAAATTAAAGATTTTGTAAGCCCCTTGATTTTGACAGTCCAGATTATTGTCGGTGGTTTGATTGGCATTTTCATGTGACCGAATAACTAGTTTTCTCCCTTTTTCGCCACAACTGAATTATCATTTTGTTCGTTTTGCTGCAACGAATTTAAAACTAAAAAAGTTTGTCCTTTTAATGTCCGATCCTTCTGGCCGGTTTATGATATAGTTAAGATCAATCTCTTCGTTGCAGGGAGAACAAGTTGTTGTTTCTTTCAAGTGAAGAGGACAAGATATGGCGACACTTAGCGATATAGGACTAGCAGCGGCTATTAACATACTCACTGCATTTGCTTTCTTTATTGCATTTGCAATTCTTCGGATTCAACCGGTCAATGATAGGGTTTACTTCCCCAAGTGGTATATCAAGGGTTTAAGGAGCAATCCGTTGAGCACCGGTGCATTTGTAGGCAAGTTTGTCAATTTGGACTTCAGGTCGTATGTGAATTTCCTTAACTGGATGCCTGCAGCATTGCAAATGCCGGAACCTGAGCTAATTGACCATGCTGGATTGGACTCTGCTGTTTACTTGAGGATTTACTTGATAGGGTATGATCTAATAGTTCTCTTATTTTTCATTTATGCTTTGAGTGATTCTTGATGAGTTACTTTGACAATAAATCCAATTGTCTTTGTGAATTATGTTGCTATATCCTAGGCGCACCAAAAACTGTTAGATATATATGTCCTGATCGTTTGCAAATTTGCTGTCTTCGAGATTAAGTCAATGAGAGACACAGTTCGATTCTTAAGTAGATAACATCAGTGATTTGAACTATTTATAGGAGGCACTCATCAATTAGGCGTTTAATTTCTTTTATAGTTTCTATTTTCTCTTTTCATATTTTGCTAATTTTGGTGTAAGACTTATGATTGGTGCAAATTTAGTAGGATTGAAGAACTGAGAGTATACTGTAAAATTAAACACTGATCCAAGGTGTCACCTGATTCAGTAAACATGCTTCTGTTTGTTTTAGATTTCCCATGTTTGAACAAAATAAGTTTAAAATGTTTATCTGTGCTTGGGAAGCACACAACATTGGAGCAAGCTGTTGTTCATTTTGAAATCTTTGCTTTTGTCACTATCAAAACTTCACCAAACTGATTTACACTTGGTATTTATAGTAATTTATAAATAGATTAATGTGGATAAAAATACAGCAAATAGATGGATATGTGCTATAATTGCGAATGAAGCTGGTATTTTGATGTCTTAAAATGTCTCTCTACTGCCTCTTCACTTAACCTTGAAAATATTCGAAAACTTTTTGTCACTGTTCATCTGTCAAAGCCAGCATGCTCCTAGGAGGTTTGGCAGGTTTATTCTGATTTCAAGAATGATACTCCCCCCAATCACAAACTGTTAGTCCACCCTTTCTGGAATGTCCAAATTGTTTTCACATTTAACTCTTAAAGGTATAGAATTTGAGATTTGCAATTTACTCTTTTGTTATAATGGATAAATAAAAATTAGAATAGTTTAGGGAAGTTTGTTGAAATAAATACTACTAACAATGAGTGCATATATCTCCTTTAAATTATGGAATAATGCAAAGGGGCTAACAATTTGGGATGGACCAATTTTGGAAAATTTTATCTTTTGCACATTCATCAATTCATTTCTTGTCCATGGATATATAGATTTGCGTTTTCCTATACACAATAGGATTTTGCATTGAGAGCATATGTTTCATCAATTGGACGCTATTCTGAGCATAATATTGACTTATAACCTTTATTCTCACATACTTATTCTTCCTTTTTATTTTCTCTCAAGTGCAGGCTTAAAATTTTTGTTCCTATTGCATTCCTGGCCTTCAGTATCTTGGTGCCAGTTAATTGGACAAATAGCACTTTGGAGCGTTCTAATTTAACTTACAGTGATTTGGATAAGCTCTCTATATCAAATATACCCAGAGGATCACGCAGGTATACAAGACTTATTACCAATTTGTTTTGTTAACTTTTCTGCTTTAAATCAAAATTTTAAATAATACTTCTAGTCTAATGAACTATGAACTATGTTAAATAATTCTTAAACCATTGGGGACTACCAAACGGTTTATCACTTAAAATAAGAATTTCTTTGAGAGTTAGGCCAATTTATCACCAAAATTTTGGTTGCAGATTCTGGACCCATTTGGTGATGGCTTATGTCTTTACCTTCTGGACATGCAATGTGCTAAAAACAGAGTATGAGATAGTGGCTAAAATGAGGTTGCATTTTCTTGCATCAGAAAAACGACGTCCTGATCAATTTACAGTAAGAGCAACTCTGTGCCATTTTGTTAATGTCATTTCTTTCAAGCACTAAAACATCGATTAAAAAGATGGCATGGGATCAAGGTTGGGTGTTTACCATCATTTACAGATATAGGAGTGGGAATAAGTTTACGATCAATAATATATTATATGCACGCAGCTAATCATGCTTTGAGTGACACATGGATGTATTCTTCCCAATAGAATATATTAAGATTTAAAATATCTAAAATGCTCAAGTTGATTAGATTTGGTTTTGCCTGGTCTACGAGTCCAGTTGCAAGTGAAAGTCTCCTTTGTAGATCCACCGGCCTTCTTTTTCTGCTAAGTTCTTACAGAATGTAGGATCAAGGTTTGGATGTTTACCATCATTTACAGATATAGGACTGGGAACATGTTTACCATTAAAGTTGGATGTTTAGCAACATCACTTAAAAAGATGGTATGGGATCAAGGTTGGATGTTTACCATCATTTACAGATATAGGACTGGGAATATGTTTAGGATCAATAAGATGTTATATGCACGCAGTCAACGATGAAGATTGACACATGGATGTATTCTTCCCAATAGAATATGTTAAGATTCAAAATATCTGAAATGCTCAAGTTGATTGGATTTGGTTGTGCCTGGTCTACGAGTCCAGTTGCATGTGAAGGTCTCCTTTGTAGATCCACCGACCTTCTTTTTCTGATAACTGCTTGCAGAATATAGGGACAATCTCTTTAATCTTCCCCCATGTGGCTTGCTACGCAAGATCAAGAAAAGAGAGGTGTTAGCAAAAGTTATGGTTTCTTCCTTGTTGGTTCTCAAAGTTCAGATTTTTTATATTTGGCTCTTATAGTTTGTTCTTAGTTTAATTCTACTAAAACTTTATTGGATTTAGTTTTTGCCAACTTGTTTTTAGAGTGCTCTTCACACTGAAATTTGAATTTGTAAAGGATTAAATAGGTCTGGCTCTTTCAACTGAAATTAACTTTTCCGTTGAGAAGTAATTTTTTTCCTTACAAGGGCCAATGATTATCATCCTCTTTTAGGTCGGTTGTCAGAATGCAGAAGCACTCATATACTATATGTTTTTGCATATTAGAGGCTTGAATGTCATTTCTTAGTAGAATGATAGTTTAGGACTCTGCATTTAAACACCTGAAGAGATTACGTCCTCTGCAGCTTTTCTGATTATAATGAAGTTGAAGTTTTGTAGCATATATTCATACAGAATAAGCAGCTCATGCTTCTAAGTTTGAATACTTTCAAATGATCTCCTTTGAACACTCTTAGTAAATCTTTTCTTCTTGTTCCTCATTGGTGAAGTAATGTATATTTGGTGCAGGTACTGGTCAGAAATGTGCCACCAGATCCTGATGAATCAGTTAGCGAACTTGTGGAACACTTTTTCCTGGTCAACCATCCTAGTGATTATCTTACTTATCAGGTTTGATCCTCTTATACTTCCACGTGCAACGATTACATATAACAACAATACATAAATACAGCCACCAGCACACACACGCACCCCTCTCCGAACCGCAGGAGATAGTTGCCCTCGCTAACAGAATCAAAGAATTGAAGTGCAATAGAGTGAAAAAAGGGAAGGCAGGCAGGCAAAGAAACCGATTAGGGAAGTGACTCCATCTTCTGTTTAATCCTCTTATACTTCCACGTGCAACGATTACATATAACAACAATACATAAATACAGCCACCAGCACACACACGCACACAGAGAGAGAGAGAAAGAGGGGGGGGGGGGGAGAGAGAGAGGGGTGGGGGGAGAGGGAGAGGGAGAGAGGGAGGGAGGGAGAGAGAGGGTACTTTTGTTGTTATAAGACTAGTTATTTGACTCCACAATATGACCCTGTAGCATTAGTTGATCCACAATTTTATAATAATCACTCAGATTTCATATTGAGAACATGGTAAGAAAAGGAGAGGTGGGAGAGTTCATTAAGTAGGTGACAGATTTTGTTGCAACAGAATGGATCCAGTTCCCTTTACTGCAAACTTGTTTCGTGCTAACTCAAAATTGTAGTTCGACCATGTGATTTTAATTCTACTGCCATTCTTTGGAAGAAAGTTATGCATTGCTTCTTCAGTTTATCATCGAGCTTATGCAAAGTATCTAACTAAAAAGTTATCTTATTTATATCTTGTTTACCTGTTTCAGCCCAAAATAATTGATTTGGGTAGGTGAATCATGTTATGATTGTTTTCGCTTGGCTTAAACATTTGCTTGCAGGTTGTCTACAATGCTAATGAACTTTCAAACTTGGTCAACAAGAAGAAAAAGATGAAGAACTGGCTTGACTACTATCAAATCAAATATTCAAGAAACCAATCCAGAAAGCCTTCTCTCAAGGTGTTCATTGTAGACGACATCCTATTGAAGTCACCAGTATCTTTTATAACCCCCAACCCCCCCCCTCCCCTCTCCATTCCCCCCCACCCCCCGCACTCTCTTTTTTTCTTTTTCCCTGTTTTTTATGCCTTCCAGATGTAGTGTTTCTTCACTAAATTTACAAGACAAATTATGAGAGAATTTTATTCAGATTTTAGTACTAATTTATGTTTTCATCAAGCAGACCGGTTTTCTTGGTCTTTTCGGGAATAGGGTGGATGCAATTGATCACTATACGTCTGAGATTGAGAAACTATCCAGAGAAGTAAGTGGTACTTTTCAATTATGACTGTGTTTTACATTGTAATTGTTTTATTTTCTTGCAGCATGATATCTCTGTCCTAACTTCATGTTTGTTCACTGACATTTATCATCACTCAAAGTAAAACTAGGCCTTTTTGTTCTTCTTACTCTTCAGATTTGTGAAGCTGTTTTTAATCAAAATTGTTTGCTGTATTTCAGTTGTTATTAATTTGATGAAGCAGTGCCCGTAGAAAGTTCTAGCTCTGAAATAGTGAATGAAGCTCTAGTCACTTAACTGTAAACATGAATTTAAACAGTCTTCAAAGTTTTGCAAACATCAAACAATTAACTTCATGTTTTTAATATGTTGAGGCACTCAATCTATATGCATGCTATTAACTTTATTTTCTTTCAAAATTAACAATTGCTAGATCTCCTTGGAGAGAGACAAGATTGTGAACAATCCTAAGTCTATCATGCCAGCAGCATTTGTTTCCTTCAAAACTAGATGGGGAGCTGCTGTTTGTTCACAAACACAGCAATCCAGAAATCCGACTGTATGGTTGACTGAGTGGGCTCCAGAACCCCGTGATGTGTATTGGGATAACCTTGCAATTCCATTTGTTTCGCTTACACTAAGAAGGCTTGTTATCGCTGTTGCGTTTTTCTTCCTCGCCTTCTTTTTCATGATTCCCATCGCATTTGTACAGTCCCTTGCAAACATTGAAGGAATTGAGAAAGCACTCCCATTCCTGAAAACCATAATTGAAAAGTGAGTATCTTTTTCTCAAGGAAGGACATTTAATTATATCATGTTAAATGCTTGTAATTTACATGATTGGACAAGGTTCTATTATATCAGTATAGCTGTCTTTCTCTCTGTTTTTTTTTTTCTCTTTTCAATTTTATTCTACTCTACTTCATTTGGAGCAAGACCTTGTGCTTTCTCTTGCTTCATATGATCTTGGAAGTTCCTTAAACGTTATTTTGAGAAAACAATGCCTGCTTATTTTCATGAAATTTGCTTCACTCTTATAGACTTAACCTGTCAGTGAGCTGCATACGAAGCCATTTCCTGACATTTTTTTTTATTATGCAAGCAAATCAAAACAACAGTTCTAATTCTTCTGGTAAAACACTAAACTCTCTAAGCTTAATCATTTACATTGTTCAATGTTGCATGAAATGAAGAAGATAAAACCAAATTTAGGGTTAAGATAAAGGCAGAAATAGTATATTTGACCTGTAGGAATGAAAATCAGTTGTGCCAACTTCTTTGGCTTAGCTTATGATTTTTAGAAAGAAATAATCTAAGTTCTGTTTTTAGGCATCAGAAAGCTGTAATGCCATCTTATGCCGATTTCTAGTTGATAAAAGAATATAACATTATGGTGGATTCTAGGAAGAGGATGGAAAGATGGAAACATGATGCCAGATAATCGTTAGCTTTCTTCAAAAAAGAAATAACTGAATAAAAATGTTGTTGCTTTATTATTATTATTTTGCAACCACTCTTTGTTTGGTGTTGGTGAGAATCCCAGGATTGGATGTTTTCTTTTTCTGAGTGTGATTCAATGTTATTAGAGTTAAATTGTCAAAGGTTCAGATGTGTTGTAGAATGATTCATTCAATAAAGTAAAATATAAAGGAAGAAAACATAGAATATTATTTCAACCCTTTATTGAATTTGTGTTTGGTTTTACTTGAATTCAATTATCCCTTGAAATATGGTAACAACCTCTTATTTTTCATGCAGGAAAGTGGTAAAGTCATTCATTCAAGGTTTCCTTCCTGGAATTGCTTTGAAGATATTTCTTATTTTTCTTCCCTCCATATTGATGCTAATGTCTAAATTCGAGGGATTCATTAGCCTATCAAGCCTAGAGAGGAGATCTGCAACTAGATATTATATCTTCCAATTCATCAATGTGTTTCTTGGAAGCATAATCACCGGAACTGCATTTCAACAACTGGATAATTTTATCCACCAGTCTGCAACTCAGTACGTTCTTCTCATATGTTCTATGTTTCCAATTTATTAGTTTATGCAGCATTGGAAATTGCTCTTTCGATGCAGTCTACTAGCCGCTGGAGTTAGAAAAGATCACATGTAAAGCTTGATTCGTTTTGCTTTATTTATTTTTTTTAAATAATAATTATGCTATATATAATCCCATGTAGTTTAAGTAGAAATTGGACCAAACCTTTTGGAGTATATGTGGTGAGCTTTTAGTAGGATGCTCCAAGGTTAATAATCTTAAAGATTTTGCTTCCAATATTTAGGAATGCACTAGATTTCTTGCAATTCAATTAGTTCATAATTACTTAAGCCAATTTTTGCAGAATACCAAAGACAGTTGGAGTATCTATTCCTATGAAGGCAACTTTCTTCATAACTTATATAATGGTTGATGGGTGGGCTGGAGTTGCTGGGGAGATTTTAAGATTGAAACCCTTGATAATTTATCACCTGAAAAATTTTTTCATGGTGAAGACTGAAAAGGATAGGAAAGAGGCGATGGATCCTGGAACTCTTGGTTTCAACACAGGGGAACCACAAATACAACTTTATTTCTTACTTGGCCTCGTTTATGCTGTGGTGTCGCCCATCTTACTTCCGTTCATAATAGTATTTTTTGCCCTCGCATATGTTGTGTATCGTCATCAGGTAAAAATTTGTATCACATCCAGAATTATCATTCAAACTACAATTATACAAGTGTAATGTTTCTGCTGTATGCATTTCAAGCCCTACACTCTTGATTGTGGATCCTCACTGAAACTGCTGCTTGAATTTGTAGATTATAAATGTTTACAACCAGGAGTATGAGAGTGCTGCTGCATTCTGGCCTGATGTCCATGGACGCATCATAGTTGCAGTAATTGTCTCACAGCTGCTGCTAATGGGATTGTTAAGCACAAAAGAAGCCGCTCAGTCTACACCGTTGCTCATTACACTCCCAGTATTAACCATATGGTTCCATATGTTCTGCAAAGGCCGTTATGAACCTGCTTTTGTTAGATATCCATTGCAGGTCTGTTATATTTTTTGCAATTTAGCATGCTTGGTTCATCTTCTGTTTTCTGTTTTTCTTTTTCCTAGAATTCTTGAAATAGACCACAACCTGTTTCTGCTGTATAAATCTCAAAAGTTTTCTTGAATAATTTCATCGTCTCCTTTCTGCCATTTTCCTGGTTTTGCAGGAAGCAATGATGAAAGATACATTGGAACGTGCCAGAGAGCCGAACCTGAACTTGAAAAGCTTCCTTCAAAATGCTTATATCCACCCAGTTTTTAAAGGCGAAGATGATAGCGACAGCGATGAAGCACCCGAAGAGTTTGAGAAAGAACCTGATCTGGTCCCAACGAAGCGCCAGTCTCGAAGGAATACACCGTTGCCAAGTAAACATAGTGGTTCAGCTTCATCCTCCATGCGCGAAGCTCAGGACTATCCACTACTTTAAACCGTTTCTCTGAATGCGAGTCCTTGGGAGATAAAACTGGTTGATGGGTCGGTAGAGATTGTACATAAGGATAGACTTAGAAGAGATAGCGAGCTGTGCAGAAGAACACAACGGGGAGATAGGGACAAATAGAGAGAGAGTTAAGTCATCAGCCAACTCATGTTGAGAAAATTGTAGGTTTTTTGGTTTATATTAGGTTGGGTTTTGTTTGATGGAAACAGCTAAAAACGTTGAGCAGAATCAAATTTTTTTTTCATGCATTTGTCGTAATTTGGTTTATAACTTGTGGGAATATTTAGTTTATTAAGGATAGGATTTTGAGCTATAAAATGTTTTTTAATAATCAGATCATGAAATCGCATGAGGTTAGGGATGGGAACCGAGCAAGTTTAGGATAGGTAACACCTTCTTCATCTTATTCTTATATTAATCAGGTTAGAGGTGGGGAAAAAATTCTTCCCATCGGGTTTGGGGCGGCCGGGAAGATTCTTAATTTTGTATTTACAATTACTAGTTGATATATAGTTAATATCCAAAAATAAAAAAGAAAATTAAGTTCTTATAAATATTAAATTTTACTATTAACTCTCATACATAATTAAATACAACAACAAATTTATTTTTAAAAATAAAGAAAATATATGTGATAAAAGAACAAAAATAACATATGTGGATTCAGATTAATTTCTCACGTGACTTAAGGCATGTTTTTCATTTTCATATCCATTTGCTTATCAGCTTTATCGAATCCGATTTTGTTAGATATCTATTCGAAAGGATAATTTTTCTATCTTTGATGGGTTTAAGTTAAAAATTAACAAGAAAGTATAGATTGCGTTTAATATTTAATTGGCATGTTCAGTATTTTGTTCATTTTTATACATCAAAATTTTAGCTCAAAATAAAATATATAGGTTTTCCAGAAAAGTGCACAAAAATAACAAACATACCATTTGTCGAGTGATTCCAGTAGAAAAAAGCCAACGAGTGTTTTTAGAGCGTCTTTAAACGATACAATATCCAAGTGCATTTGCTAAACTTTATTTATTGTTGAATTGTGTTAAAAAATAATAAACAATAATATTATTAAAAATATTAAATAAGTGTTATTTTATATGATAATATCTTTAATTACAATAAATTCTATATATAAAAAAAAGAATTATTGTGATTGATTATAAGTTTACTAATATTATAGTGGTAAGTTTACTAATATTTTCCAGTATCAATCATTTTAATGAGATAAGTAATAATTACACGTGGAATTAGGAAACATAAAATGAAAGGAAAAAAAATCATAAAATGAGCTGTGAATTTGACCAAACGAACAAACCGCAAGTTGTAATTTATCAATAAGGAGATCTGACGTATCAGCAAGTCAATCCTACCTCTTTCTTAATTTCCTTGTCCTGACCAGAAAAGAAACAACCGGTCCAGTCTCCCCTTCCCTTCCTTCCTCCTCATTTCCTTCACCCCTACGCCTAGAGAGAGAAACACAGGGGAAAGAATGGAGGCTGCTGGAGGAGGAGATGTGGTGTCATCAAGAACTGGGCCTCAAACGATGACGACGTCGTCTTCTCCTTCATCACCATCTGCACTTCTGCTACCATGCAACCTTCCTCTCCTCTCTGCCTTGCTCGCCTGTGCTCTCGCTCAGTTCCTCAAGCTCTTCACCACCTGGTCCTTCTCCTCCTCCACAATTGCATTTAATATTGTTAATTTGAAGATTAAATGATCAAATTTTGTTAATTTGAAGATTGCTCTTTTTTATTTTTTTTGTGTAATTAATTTCTTGAATTTAAGATGCGATCATGTAGCTCACTTTTTTCAATATTTTTGTCCTAGATGCTCAGGTATAAAGACAGGAGATGGGATTCTAAAAGAATGCTTGATTCTGGTGGAATGCCTTCTTCACATTCTGCAACGGTCACAGCTCTAACTGTGGCTATAGGTTTGCAAGAAGGGACGGGATCACCTGCTTTTGCCATTGTTGTTGTCTTGGCATGTGTTGTAAGTCCCTTTTTTTTCATCCCCCTTTTCGCTTTTGGTGTTTGCTTGCTTGTACCATACCTATTTCCGCTCTGGTGGTAACGAATTTATAATTTTTCTTCGTGCTTGAAATGCATTTTTGGCGTTGAAAAAGATGCATTTTTACTTGAACCTGCTTTGTTTTTCATTTAGGGATCAAACTACATTGTATGTTTTGCAAAAAGGAAGGTTTACTGTTGGGCACTACTGACTTGTAATATGCTATAATTTCATTTTATTGTGGCTGCCATGATCTCACTTCACTAGCTTCCGACCAAAAAGAGGGGGGGGGTAAATAAATCCTGGCATATCTATGAGGAATTACTTGGTTCAAATTTTATGTCTTCACCCTGAGTCACCCTTTGATGTAGCAACTCTAATGTTAGATTGGTATGTTTCCTTGTTTGAACCAAAGGAATTTGAAAATGATAGGTGTGGAAGTAGTCCCAGGTATTCAAAAAGAGGCCAATCTGCAATTGGAATGTTGCAGTGGAACATGCTTTAGAATAATTTATTGGAGGTGGTGAAAAGTTTGTTGAACCTAGAGATTGCTAACTCTCCCAAGTGAAGATATTTCTTGATATCCCTTCTCAATTCTCTCTATCAAGAGAATTTAGCAATCCCAAGATGCTATAGGCCAAAATATGTAGCTAGATTCCATATATAATTTCCTTATCTAATATCTAGGTTTTGATGGATTGTTACAAGGCAGTCTTAAAGGCTGGTTTAGCTGTGCTGCAACAAGTGTTCTCAAGTCTGTGATCTAAACTGGTTTATCCTGCTTTTGATCGGGATGGTTTCATACTAGCTATAAAATTCATAGTGTTTTAATGCCATTTATGTTCTTTGTTTTGTGTTAATCTTTCATTAATCATGAAGTTCACCCGTATAAATTGCTGCATACTGCTTATTTTCTAGGTTGGCATGATTGGCTTTTATATTTTTGGCAGGTGATGTATGATGCTTCAGGGGTCAGACTTCATGCTGGTCGGCAAGCTGAAGTAAGTCACCTTGACACATTTGTGTAAACCTAAGTTGCGTTTTTTGTCTGCTTCTAATATTGCTACTTGCAAGTGCATTTTGGCACATTTATAGGTGTCTTCTTTCTTGTACTGCTTTACATGGTTGTTTTTTTTTGCACCTGTTACAGTTGCTGAATCAAATTGTCTGTGAGTTTCCTCCAGAACACCCATTATCCAGTTCTAGACCTCTGCGTGAATTACTTGGGCATACTCCCCTTCAGGTTTGTTGCATTATCTACTGCATTTTGTTTCAATAGACGAGTTCTCTCTTTTTATGTGTGTATTTTCATATTGGAGGTTTGTGTATTCTGCATTTCAAAAGCGCTCAATTTATAGTCAGATGATTATTACTCAGATGAGATGCTAGTTATAGTTGACGGGCTGTTGCAAGCCTTATAGTCATAATTCTGTGCTCACACTATAGACAAAGTACCTTGACATTGTAAAGTGGAAACTTCCGTGTGAAAAATAAAAAAGAATATGAAATGGCTTATAATAGCGAGATTGAAAACAATAAATATAGGAGAGAGAAATGGAAAAACGAGACATGGAGACTTAAGCAAGAAAGTGATAGATGTACGTGTTGATTATGCAAACAAAATCTCAATAGAAGGGTGGTTAAAGAGCATTTTCCCTGCCTCCAAAAGAGAAAAGGAGTATATAGAACTGACCATAAAGCGAACTTTGTTATTAAAGGACTTTTTTTGATAATGAGATAGCTAAGTTTTGGCGCATTCATTGAGTGCTGAGGGAATAGTTTTTGCTTTCTTGAAAGTTGAAAACAATTTCATGGAGAAGCATTGCTTCTTCTTCTTCTTTGTCTTTATTTATTTTATTTTTATTTTTTCCTTTCAAGGGAGAAGGATGATATTTTAGAAATCATTACAGCAAGTCAACCAATTGTATTTGCCTTTTATTTTTTCATGATTCCTTGCTAGATTATGTATACTTTCTAAATCCTTCCTAGGGAGGCGTTAGGAAAATGGGAGATTGCTCTATCATATCTCGCTATTTCATTCTAGGTCGGGAAGAAGTCTGTTAATTATACTGAGATTGATGTTCAAGTGCAAATAACCACCTTTTTGCTTTGAGCAGGTTGTTGCCGGAGCTATCCTGGGATGCATTGTAGGCTACCTGATGAGAAATACCAATTAGCATATCGTGCGTCAATCACATATTATTTACGGGCCCTTGGATACATGCAGCAATTCCAGCAAAGCGTGGAAGAGCTGTTGTATATTGTAGTTCCAATTGTTGGAAAACAGACGTATTCGTTGCGATTGAGGCCTGGATACTGGGAATTTTATGGAATTTGTAATATATGTAAAACGATGCTCATGAATAAACAATGCTTCCAGAATGAATTTAGCAGCACAAGTGAATCTGACATATCTGCATTTAACCGTTTCCTTCATCAGCTGCTAACTATATTTCCTTGGCACTTGGTCATTTAAATGTGTCGCAACAAGGCAGGCTATGTCACAGCCTAATCTTGATGCATTTCCTTCGTATTGACAATGCCTAAAATAACAAGAAACCATTTCTTTATTGTGCTCTGTAATTATCTAAGTGGGGTACCTATTTAGGGTATAAATCATGTACCATATGCACCATTTTTTGTGGTCATGACAAATTAGTGAAATCCCATTTTTTAGGTTAGTTTTAGGGGAGCCAAACTGCTCCCATATAATAACTAGTAGCCATTAATTTCCTAGTAGTTTTATTTTAGATAAATTCGGGAAAAGCGTTAAAAAATGTCCTTCCCGTTTTTACAATTCTGCTCCCTTTTCATGGAGTTTCAACTTTCCTTACCGTTAAATAATTAAATATTTCTCTCTCTTATTCAAAGTTAGCACTTAAAGCACTCTTTAAATGCATCTCTTTTTTATTTTGATTTTTTTTTCTTTTTCTTTTTCCTTCTCTAAATTCACACGATGCATAAGCAGTTTCATCGTGTAAGGCTAAGCCATGACATGATGAAAAATATGAAACCATCAAAGCCACGCCATCTCCCCTGGTTTGGCTTCAAGATAGTGATTACTCTCTGTTCTTTGTCATATTTTGTTTTTGCTTACATCAAGCTTCACGCTCAAGTCGAGCTTCCTTCCCTATATCCAGCTTTTCATACGTCTTCCTTTTTGGGTTATCATCATCATTTTGAAGGCACACCAAAAATTGCTTTTCTCTTTCTTGCTCGTCGTGACCTCCCCCTTGATTTTCTGTGGGATTCTTTCTTCAAGGTTTGTCTTTCTTTTTCGTTTATAATGGTGTTAAAAAAAAAATGGACATAGCAACAATATGCATGTATGTATTTTGAAAATAATTTTGGTGAGTCTCTCAGAATGTTGATGCAGCGAATTTTTCAATTTATATTCATTCCACTCCTGGTTTTGTCTTCAACGAAACAACAACGAGGTCTGCATTTTTTTACGGTCGGCAATTAAACTACAGTGTTCAGGTACTCACTCAGTTCAATAATCTATTGTACTCTTTTTACTAGTTATAATCTTGGTCTTATTTCCGGCCATGTTTCCTCCTTGAGATTTTGTAATAAAAGTAGAGAGGAAAAGGATAAGATTTGTGCTTTTGTATCAATTATTGCTTGATCGATGTTCATGTTGCAGGTGGTTTGGGGAGAATCGAGTATGATAGAAGCAGAGAAGCTGTTACTTCTAAGAGCTCTCCATGATCCTGCGAATCAGAGATTTGTTCTCCTTTCAGATAGGTTCATTTCTTGTGCCTATTTCTATAACTTCGGACAAATCTATGCTTCATCTTTTCACTTCTTAGTAGTTTTGTCTTGCAGATGCGTTCCTTTGCATAACTTCAGCTACATATACAGCTATTTAATGTCTTCTCCAAAAAGCTTTGTCGATAGGTGCGTTGAGAAAGCATTTAGCACCATTACAATGAAATGGACGTAAATAATATTCTTTCTAACGCATACTTAATTAGTGAAGCTGAGTTTTCAACCTATTTGTGTTATAGCTTTACTGATGTTGAAGAAGATCGTTATAGTCCCAAGATGTCACCTGTTATACCCAAGGATAAATGGCGAAAAGGATCTCAGGTTCTTAATTCTGTATTTCTGAATGTTTATATTTAATCATCAATTACGTTCCTACATGTCCCTATTAATAAATTAAGTATATAAGAGAACTTTATCTATCTTATTGGCTTTATTTTGCAAATTTTTTAATTTTATGATATGCACTTTCGATTTATCAATCGCTGGGAATATTTTTTGAATGAGTTTAATATTTCAGGAATTAGAAAAGGAATCCTGTATTCTTTTCAGATATGTGCACCATTAATTTGCAGCTTACTTATTTGATGCATTGATTTTAGTGGATCTCTTTGGTTAGAAGACATGCAGAAATTGTGGCAGAGGATTATTTTGTTTTTCCAATATTCAAGGAATTTTGTAAGGTAAATATACAAGGAGGGATTTTTTTTTTTTCTCATTGCCTTTTGTTCTAGTTTTATTTTATTAAATTTACTCCTTCCATCCCATTTTGTTAGTTTTTCTGTCGTTGGATTTCCAATTAATTATTTATCAAAATCTAACCTACATATTTCTTTGTCTATTTTACAAATACTGACATATATATCATTGTCTTGGAAAATGTAGACGTTCATGCATGTATTTTGGAATAAAACTGGTTATTAATCAAATAATACAGGATAAGATTGAAAAATCATTTTTTTTTCATGTACTTTATTTATAGAATGAAAAAAATATTAATTAGGAGACATCCCTAAAAGAAAACATGCACAAACATAGTTGGATAAAGGGAGCAATATATATTATTTGAATAGATTTAAATTTTATTATTATTGTTATTATTGTTATTCTTTTAAAGAAAGCTATATTTTATAGTATGATGAATAATGCTATCATATCTTTTGTTCGTTTGATCATTGTCCGTAGTGAAGTGATTATCATGCATGAAGCCTTAAATAGCTAACTTTTTTAATGTTTAAATTCTTCCAGCGATGGCCTCCTAGTGATATAGATAATGGAAGACAGATTCTACAACCATTTGTAAGTGATCAGTACTGTTATAAACAATCTGAGATTAGAAGGGAAAAGTAGCATATTAACATTTGTAAGCAAAGACGTGTTTTTTATTAATGTTTGAAAAAGAAGCAACCGATTATCCTATCTTGTATATATAGGACCTAGCGGCGCAATATTTGTTGTGGATATTTAAACAACATCGTAATTGTATTCCGGATGAACATTACGTCCAAACATTACTTGCGGTAAGAAACGAATATTTATCATATATGTCTTAGCTTTAGTTTTTTCCTCTCTTCACTGTTCTATATATTTATCTACTTTCTGACAACTTCGATCTTTTGCAATCTGCATTAAAATATCTATCTATTTATTTATTTTGTGGTTTGTATGTATTAAGATGAAGGGGCTTGAAGATGAACTTGAAAGGAGAACATTGACCTATACCTTGTGGAATCACTCGATTACGGAAGTGCAAACATCATGGCATCCTATCACTTTCGATTATGCTGATGCCACTCCTAAAAAAATCAAAGAAATAAAAGTAAGTTCGATTCCTAGCCATTATTAGCTCATGCTAGTTACTGACATTCATAGTAGATAGCTTTGCTCTGACTTCCTACTGTCCATGTTTTTGCTTTCACTTTCTCGATTTGAAGTATATATAGAAATTCTTTATATATGTGTGTGTTTATTTAAAAGATTCTAAACTTTCTATTATTTCATCATCGAATTCTGTTTCTCTAATCATGCTTGCTTCAATCTCACAGGCTATCAACTCTATCTTCCAGAAATACGAAAATAAAAGTGAGATGTGCCAAGTCAACAACATACTTACTCCTTGTTTCTTGTTTGCAAGAAAATTCACACAGACAGCGGCTTTGCAACTCTTGACCCAAGACTTGGTTGGCCTATATCATCATACTACAGCATTACCAAATATATCATCATCCCGAACAGCTCCATTGATTTAGAAGGAAAAAATAAAGTATATATATAATTTTTGCGTCGCAGGAAAGTGAAGGTTAGTCTACGAAAATGGTATAAGATGCAGAGATTGTATTTATTATTGCACAGCTGAACTTTTACCAAAGTCGTTTCCATTTTTGTAGCTTTATGGAAATTCTTGTTAATCTTTTTTTTAATGGAAAAAATAGAGTATTTTTAATACCAAATAAGGTACAAGTAAATTATTATTTTCACATTACATATATATAAAATATAACAATGATAGAAATTGAATCTTAATTACAATTAAAGTGGCTTCTAAAGTGTTTATTGTTAAGAGAGACAGAATTTGGAAAAACTTTACCAAGAATGTATTGAGAAAACGTATAAAAGGAATACAACGGTTTACATATTCCCTTGCTATAATCCTCTATTTCTAACATGAACTAACTATACATATATAGACAGTTAGTTAATGTACAACCGAAAAACACTAAGAATATATATATATATATCTTAATACTTCCCCTTCAAGTTAGAGGTTTATATAAATCATAAACAACTAACTTGGACAAAAGATACTAATGAAGCTTGCTGCCTAGTTCTTCGATGAATATGTCTGCAAGTTGCTCTCCTGTCTTGACAAAAATAGTCTTGATCAACCCTTCTCTAAGCTTTTCTCTAACCAAATGACAATCAATATTTATGTGCTTCGTTCTTTCATGAAAAACTGGATTTGAAACAATATGTAACCCTATTTTATTCTCATAATGCATTTAAGCAGCAACTAATCCTATGACCTACAATTCATGAAAAATTCTTACCAACAAAATCATTTCACAAGCCATTGCTCCGTATTCTACCTCGACTGAAGACCGAGACACTCCATTTTGCTTCTTTATTTTCCAAGATAAGAGAGAGCTACCAAGAAAGATACAAAATTCAGTCAAAAAGTTTCTAGTCATCAAACAAGAAACCTAGTCCGAATGATAAAATATTCGAGCTGCATGTCACTGAAAGAGGACGATCAAACAACGAGCCCGGGATCACCTTTAAGATACCTCGGTACTCATATAGCTGAGTTCATTTGAGAAACTTTTAGCTAATGCATGAACTGATTGAGGATTCGTACTACATAGCATATATTAGGGTGAGTGACGGTTAAGTATATCGACCTACCCATTAATCTTTGATATTCAATAGGATCTATCAAGATTGAATGCGGACCTGCAGTTTGTAGTGTTTTATCAAATTGGATCGAGGTGAGTTTCAAGTTTTGTTCTATTGGCATTCCTATAAGTTTTGAAGCAAGTAATCTAGCATGATGCAACAATTTTATAGTTTATTTCCTTTGACTTAAACAGATTCCCTGTTTGGATCTTGCTACTTCTACGCCTAAGAAATATCTCAAACCACCCGGATCCTTAATATAAAAGGTTTCATGTAGAAAACCCTTTAACTCGTTGTATGCCGACCACATCATTGCCTATGATTAATATATCATCGACATATACTAACAATATAATCATCTTGCTATATGTTACTTTAGTAAACATAGAATAGCCATGCTTTGATTGAGAAAAATGTACCAAAATCATGTTTTCGATAAATTTAGAATTCCAATGCGTTGAAGGTTTTTTCAATCCATAAAAGGACATAAGCAATCTGTATAATAAGCCATCCCCTTGAGTTTTAAGTCCAAGGGCAAATGCATATAAACTTCTTCATATAAATCTCCTTTAGAAATGCATTAGTAACATCTATCCGATAAAGCGACCGATCTTATGTAGCAGCTAAGGTAATAACAATCTTGACGAGTGACCATTTTAACCACATGAGAAAAATTCTCACTATAATCAATCCCCTCTTGTTGAGTATACCCTTAGCCACTAACTCGGCTTTATATCTATCCATACTACCATCAGAATTATATTTCACCTTGTACTAATAGGTTTCCTTAGTGGTAAAAGAAATAAGTCTCATGTTTGGTTCAGTTCAAGAGCTTGGAATTCCTTAGCCATAGCATCTATCCACCTAGGATTCTTAATGGCTTTGGAGTAAAAATTAGGTTCTATAGTAAAAGAGATAAAAATTAGAAAGGTTGTATGAGGTGGAAAAAGGGAACCAAAAGAAATATAATTGGTTATAAAATATGGAATAATGGGATTTAAGTGAGTAAAATGGGATCGAGGTAAAGTAGGACAAGAATAGTCTTGGGAACAAATAGGTTGTTTAGACAGTCTAGTGGATCTACAAGAAGGAGCAAAGTTAGAGATATGGGATGAAATAAAAGGACTAAGGGAATAATGCGAAGTAGTAGGAGACAAGGGTGAGGACTTTGGAGAAGGAACGATAGATTAGGAAGGAAAAGAGATAAGAGAGGTCAAAACATCATCATTATATACCCACCGAAAATAATAGGTTGTAGGGAATAGGAGAACAACTTCTATTAGCTAGAACATAAGAATAATGGAAAGGAAATAATGACTTATGAAAAGATAAATCTTGAGATACAAAGATTTATTCAGTATGTAAGGTCATGACCTTTTAACCCTTTATGAGTAAGGATAGCCTAAAAAAACACAAGGTTAAGATCCGAGAGCAAATTTATCAAGAATAAGGAATACTTTGGCATAATAGAGACAACAAACACCTTAAGATGAGCAAAAAGAGAAGGCTTATGGAATAATATTTCACATGGAGTGTGTCCAAGTAAAAGGAGTGTGGTTATTCTATTGCTAAGATATGTAGAGGTTAATATGCAATCTTCCTAAAATTTGATTAGAATATTAGACTGAAACATAAAGGCTCTTGTGATGTTTAAGACATGCCTATGTTTTTTCTCTACAATACCATTTTGTTATAGAGTATAAGGGATGGTGGTTTCATGAAGAATGCCTTTATAAGAGAAAAAGGCATGAAAAGCAGTTTGAAGAAATTCTAAACCTTTATCTCTCCCGACCCTTTTGATGTTACGGAGAAATTATGTAGAAACAAGAACATAAAAATTCTACATCAATCGAAGTGCCGGAGATTTAGTTTTCATAAGAAATGTCTAGGTCCCTTTAGAAAAATTATCAACAATAGAGAGAAAATATTTTTCTTAATTATAAGTAGGATGTTTATAGGATCCTCATATATCAACATAAATAAGATCGAAAGGAAAGTGAGTAATGGATGTACTTGTGAGGGAAAGTACTCATGTTTGTTTGACAAGAGGATGAATCGAATTGGAAGAAGATAAAGAAAATATTAGGAATTAATTTGAGTCAAGAAAAGGATATATGCCTAAATCTTTTATGCCAAAGGTTTACATCACTTAAAACATATAAAGTGTTGTGTGTTGTTTTATTACAAAAAAAAAGTTATAAGACTTGGGCGGAATTGAAAAACTATTGTTAGGAATATGAACGGATGAAGTGTGAAAAACAAGATAAAAGTGAAGTTGATATAGAATTGAATGAGGTTGGCAAGATATGATGTACTATCTCTAACTTTAACAATCCTCTTTGTCTTTCTAGTCTTAAGGTCTTAAAAGAGACAAAAATATGGATAAAAGGATGCCAAACAATTGTTATCAATAATGAAATTGGCTATTGACAATAGATTGAATTTGAAATCGGATAAGTATAAAACATCCTTAAGGGTGATTGATGGAAAAGCAATTAAACCTATATGAGTATCCGGAGTCCTATTGCCATTTGGTAATTTGCTAGTAAAAATAGATGTTAAGGGCCTAGGATTATCCAAGCAATCAAAATGACCATTCATATGAACATTAGCCCCTATATGCATTGTCCAATCATCATGAATGGAAACAAGTATCAACAAGGTTATAAAAAAACTCACCAACCATGTTTGTTGTAGGCACGATCTTTGGAACAACCCGTCCCGAAGTTGTATCCTTCGATAACAAATCCAGTATTTGTTGATATTATTACCGAGAAAATGCAAAAGGTGATATCAACTTGTTTGATGATTAAAGAACAAATTTTAGATCTGCAATATCATTCAAATATGCTCCTATACTTTAATTAAAACTTGTAGTGTGATTTCCCATGTAGCTAATAGTATTAGCGAGCATAATTCCTTTACATGTCTCCACTAAAGTTAGAATTACCTCCACC